AGAGAGAGAGAGAGAGAGAGAGAGAGAGAGAGAGAGAGAGAGAGAAAAAGAGAAAGAGAGAGAGAGAGAGACGGAGAGCACGAGAAAGAGAGAGAGAGAGAGAGAGAGAGAGAGAGAGAGAGTGAGAGAGAGAGAGCGAGAGAGATAGAGAGAGAACGAGAGAAAGAGAGAGAGAGAGAGAGAGAGAGAGAGAGAGAGAGAGAGAGAGAGAGAGAGAGAGAGAGAGAGAGAGAGAGAGAGAGAGAGAGAGAGAGAGAGAGAGAGCCACCGAGAGAGGGAGAGAGAGAAACACGACAGCAAGATGATAAATAACCAAAATGAAAAAATAGATTGACATGTAATGTGTATGCATGCATGGCAGGCATGTAAGTATGTATGTATGTAGTATGTCTAGTTGCCCGGTTCAGAAACCCTATTAATAATAAGACCATTTATGATTTAAATTTCTTTAAATATTAAATAAAATTATAATAAATTAAATAATAATTTAAATTAAAATTAGGGTTTCTGAACCGGGCAGCTTGCATCGGCTGCATTTCTCGTCGCCACCACGATGGCGAGCCAAATGCTCTGCATCGCTCTCAGTCGCGAGACCAACATCGCCACATCCCTTTCCGGTGTCGTCGTCGCCCTCCTGAGCCAGGCCTTCGCCGGACTCGAGCCGAAGCTTCTTCGGGGCCGCAGGCACGGATCCTTGTGGACCTCGTCTTTTTTTTGTTCGGCGTCCGGTCCTGCTTCCGGGAGCGTAGTCCGAACCGAGCGGCAAGACCACGCAGGGTGCGGCTACCCACTGGCATTGAAATCCTGGGGGCCTTGGAGCCTTGAGCCTGGGAGCCTGAAGCGACCGCGAAGCACTTACGATGACAAGCAAACGCAACCGTGGCAACCGTGCTAAGACTGGAACTGAATCAGACTCTGCAACTGGTCCAACCGACTCCGACTAACCCGAGAACCGCGCCTCCAGCTTCCCGTTCGATCCGACAGCGAGCAGCTGCCTGGCAGACGTGAGGGTATTACCCCGAGTCAAGCAGCCCGAATGGCACAACACTGCGAACTCCTATGCACACTGCGGCGGTTTGTTTCACTGGGAGTCGGCAGGGTGACCCAGTCCAAATAATCTGTACTGCTCGGAGCAGGCTTTCCCGAATTTTGCACCCGGCCTCACCTAAGTCAGTCTATGATGCCAACTCCGAGTGGCCAAATTAGAAAACGCATGCCATTCTCCGTCATTAATAATATGACGAATTAATGACTACTACTTTGCCCAGCGATGGGCAAGACGGGACGCCAATGTGGCCGTGGCACCCTTCCTCGAGCACTTCTTTGCTGCCTGCGGTCTCAAGACTTTCTGCCAACGCTTTGCCAAAGCTGACATGCCTTCAGCCTTCTGAGCCTTTGGAGCCTTTGGTGCCTTTGGAGGCTTCTGCGCCGATGCAGCCTTTCGCGCCTTGGGAGCCTTCCGTGGCTTGCCATGGCGCTTGCGGCATTTCGCTGCTGCGCCGAGCACAACTGAAGCAGTTATGCTTGGCGCAGCAACGGTGCTGCACAAGGCTGTCGGCCGGGAAGCTTTGGGCAGGCTCCAGTTTACCAACGCAAGCGCAAACTTCATTGCCACGGCTACAATCTGCACATGCATCGTGTTGCCGCCCATGCTGGCGAGCTCCTTGTCGGTCACTTTGCTGGGAAAAACCATACGGTGAATTGGAAAACCGTGCAGCATGACTTTTTCAAGCGGGCTAATGATCCTTCCAGCTCGTGCGGATACCAGTACGGCCCCAGGTGTAACAGTAGGCAGGGAGCCATCGGTCCGCACCCGGGCTCGGTTCACATTCTGGGATACATCCGCGACAAGCTCCTTACTGCCTGCATGCTTTGTGCAAATGATGTCCCAGGCATCACGCTCACGCGGCAAATGCAGGAACAACGTGTCTGCGCAGCAGGCGACCTCCGCTCTCAGTGCAAGGCCTCCGACTCTCACTCTTCAACCGGCTGCCCTGCTGCATTGAAGCTTTGCACATCTTGTGCAATTCTTTCCACTTTGGAGCATGGGAGCCTGGAGCCTGGGAGCCTGGGAACCCACGGTTGGAAGCTTGCGACCACTTCCGTTTGCGGCTTTCCTGGTACTGTGCCACAGCAGGGTGGCTCGCCGGTAGCAGTCTATCCAAAAGATCGACTGCGTCTCCGGAAGCAACTGCATCCAGGACTTCCGCCCAAGCCTCACGAAGCCAGCACGACATGTCCTTTGGCGAGATGAGGCTCACATCTTGCCGGACCCCGATGAAGTAGTACCTAGGCCTCTGGATGGGCTCCTGTAGCTCGGCAGGGTTCATCAAAATCATTTCGACATGATAGCCTGTGGACCTGAGTGCCGCCAGAACCTTTGCAGAAACACGCTTGATGCCTGACACATTCTCCAGCACGAAGCACGAGGGCCGCACAAGTTGGATGCGTGCAACGACCCCATAGAATATTTGAGCCTGTTTTTCCTTGAGGAGCCTTGACTTATTGTGGAGCAGGCTGAACGGCTTGCAGCTGAAGCCGGCAATGTACAGGTGAACGAACGGTGCCTTGTCAGCATCCAGGACACTGTGGAACAGTACCGAGGGCTTGGTATTAGCCTCGATAACCGACCGAGGACCAGCAGCCACCTCACTCCCAAACAAATGCTGGTGCGTGATGCCGAGCTCCCTAAGGCCATGGATCGGTGCATCAATGCCACTGCAATCAGTTCCCACCAACAATCTTTGTGGAAGTTTGGCCGCCCCGAGACCAAAACGGGCATGAGTGGCACCGATGCTGGCCTCGGTGGCACTCTGAAAGCCGGACCCCCAGCCGTCCAGCCACTGCCTCAAAGTGCCTGGAATCATGGCGGCAGCGACTCTACTGGGCCTTGGAGCCTGAGAGCCTGGGTGCCTGGGTGCCTGGAGCCTTGAATGCAACGGTAACGTTTAAATTGCTGCACTTGCTGACAACTTCAAACTTCGCGACGAGTGACTGGCACTGGGACAGAAGCAACGGCGATGATCCCACCAGACCAGTACCCCTCAATGACCCTTGGATGCACACAAAACACCCTTAGATGCAGTGCCTGGCCTGATCGTTGCATCCAAGGGTCATCCGGGTGCATTGAAGGGTCCTTTCAAGTTTTGGTGTGTGCTTTGCTGAAGGAATACAGGTGGTACAGGGTGGGGTTTAGGATAAAGGTGGCTTGGTGTCGAGGGTTTCGAGTGTAACCTGGGTTTCAGCAATTGACCCTTGGATGCACACAAAACACCCTTAGATGCAGTGCCTGGCCTGATCGTTGCATCCAAGGGTCATCCGGGTGCATTGAAGGGTCCTGTCAAGTTTTGGTGTGTGCTTTGCTTAAGGAATTTACAGGGTGTACAGGGGGGCTTTAAGGATTTAGGTGGTTTGGTAACGAGGGTTTCGAGTGTAACCTGGGTTTCAACTATCATCGACGAACAACAATGACGAGTTTGAAGACTTGTATCAATCTTTGTGGAAGCTTGGTCGCCCCGAGACCAAAACGTGCTGGCATCGGTGGCACTCTGAAAGCCCGAACCCCAGCCATCCAGCCACTGCCTCAAAGTGCCTGGAGACGCACGGAGGGCTGGTAGACATGCAGCCTCAGGGGCTTGGAGCCTGAGAGCCTGAGAGCCTGGGCGCCTGGGGCCTGGGGGCCTGGAGCCTTGAATGCAAAGTTTGAATTCTGCACTTGCACAACTTCAGACTTCGCGACGAGTGACTGGCACTGGGACAGAAGCAAAGCCGATGATCCCAGCAGTAAAGCCTCCCCCTCATTGCAGGAACAATCTGGCGGGACAACAGGATCCCTGGCCCAGATTTTGCCCCAGCTGGCGCATTAGCCCATTGGCCCAGCTGTCATCTGCCACTGCCTTGGCAGGTTGGCCTCAAGGCTGAGTTCCTGCGGCCCGACACCCGGCCAACGGTGCCCACAGTGACGTAACGGCAGCGTACACTGTGTGGGTAGGGTCAAAATGCACACTCTACTAGGCCTTGGAGCCTGAGAGCCTGGGTGCCTTGGTGCCTGGAGCCTTGAATGCAACGTTTAAGTTGAATGCAGCACTTGCTGACAACTTCAAACTTCGCGACGAGTGACTGGCACTGGGACAGAAGCAAAGGCGATGATCCCACCAGACCAGTACCCCTCAATGACCCTTGGATGCACACAAAACACCCTTAGATGCAGTGCCTGGCCTGATCGTTGCATCCAAGGGTCATCCGGGTGCATTGAAGGGTCCTGTCAAGTTTTGGTGTGTGCTTTGCTTAAGGAATACAGGGGGTACAGGGGGCTTTAGGATTTAGGTAGTTTGGTGTCCAGGGTTTCGAGTGTAACCTGGGTTTCAGCAATTATCGACGATCAAGAACGGGGTTTAGGGTTTACTTTCATTTTAACTTATTATTTAATTAAATGTTACTTAATTTAAAATAATAATTTTGAAATTAAACTTTAACCCTAAACCCTAAACCCTCATGGGGGCTGTTAGGGGTTGAAGCCTTTACTGGAGTGGGCATTTTAGGGGTACCAGGCTTTAGGGAGCGGGCTATGGGCAGGGTGTTAGGCTTACGGCGGGGTCATAGGCGTTCAAAGGGATTTTAATGAATCGACTGCAGCCGAGTACCGTAAGATGGTGATAATCTTAAGGGTTTAGGGTCTGGAATTTAATAGGGTCCAGGGTTTAGGGTTTAGACGATTTATGGCCTACTTTCAACAAAAACGTTGCTAAACCCCGCCACTACCTCTTTAATCATTTTTGTGAGGGGTTTGCCAAACAAAATCCTTCGGAGCCTTGGAGCCTTGGAGCCTAGGGGCCCTCGCGGACGCGTGACGCGTGCGTGACAATGTGTTTCTGTCACGCTATACGCGCATGTACGCGCTTCTCTGAGGGTCCGTGGACCGGTGCGCCGGCTCACAGCCGCTGCGCAGTCTCCATGCGTTTGTGGTCTGAAACTTCCAGTACCGCATGGCTGTGGCGTTGCCGTGCTGCCATGTGCAGCCCCAGTTTGCCGCGACCGGCAATTGTACTCGTCGTATGGCCTCCAGGATTGGGAACGCAGACGCTGTGCATTGCCCCGTGGAGTTGTTGCCATACCACGCTTAGCTCGTCCCAATTCGAGCAGCGTGTTCATAGGGCTGAGCCCCGCGGCGATGCCCGATACGGGACATGCCTTTGTGTGAACTCCGGTTTAGGATTTAGGGATTTAAGGGTTTAGGGATTTAGGGGTTTAGGGTTTTAGGGTTTTCGGGGTTTAGGGGTTTAGGGGTTTAGGGGTCTAGGGGTCTAGGGTAGGGTTTTAGGGGTTTAGGGGTTTAGGGTTTAGGGGTTTAGGGGTTTAGGGTTTAGGGTTTACAGGGGTTTAGGGTTTTTTTGATGCGATGGCAGAGGGGTTTAGGGTTTAGGGGATTGGGGTTTAGGGTTTCGGGGCTAAGGGTTTAAGGCTACCTAGCAAGGACGAAGCCCGCATTGCAGGGTAACTCCGAAGCAACAGGGTTAAGGGTTTGTAAGGATTTAGGGTTTAGGGTTTGTAAGGGTTTAGGGTTTGTAAGGATTTAGGGTTCAGGGTTTGCAAGGATTTAG